TACTGTTTTGGGTAATATTACTATATATAGGATGTTCTATTAGGATATTTACGGTCACCATGTGTGTTAGTTTGATGATGTCCCCAGAGTGAGTTCATGAAGGATTGTTACGCTAAACCCTGCAGGTGGATTAAATTTCGGCATAATAAGGATGTGATGAACGAGTGATGGCTTTGGTGAAATAATAATAAATTAATTAATTCTTGATTGTCAGTAATCAAATTAATTAATGGACATTATATCTTAAATATGGGGAGGTAAATCGAGTAATTATTATTTGAGTCTCAAATGTAATTTGGGCTAGGAAAAGAGAGTTCAATAATATAATGTTGGTGGCCCATTAATATTATTTAATTAATTAGAAGAGTGGGTTTGACCCACAGTTAGTCCAATTAATTAAGGAGCCCTATTCCAAATCTCCTAAGGGTCCCTACTGTAGCTCTATATATACATCATTAAGCTCATGAGAAGAGATCCATCTTCCCATAATCTCGATATACACTCCGCCTCTCATCTATCTCTCTCAATTCTCATTCGAGCTTTATCTTCTTCTTGTTGCTCCACTGGTACAAGTTGAATAAGGTGTACTGAGTAATACAGTAGAAGAACCGTAGGTAACCGAGACCCGTTAATCTTCTACAGCAATCAACAATCCACGAGCCAAGCCCGAGGACCGTCGATCACCGCCAACCGGAGCCGATGGATCGCCGTCGATCGTGACTCAACCGCCGGCAAGCCGAGACGAGATCGCGACACGACCCGACAACTCGCGGGCTCCCAACGCGACACGACCTGGATGCGCGAACAGCCCCACACGACCCGATCCCGATTCACGCGAGCCTGAGACTTCTATTCGTGTGATCCAGTTTGTTCGTGTGTTGTGTATGACCATCCGAAAGATCAGCCAGATCGCCAAAAATTTTAAGCCGTAAGTTCTCTACATCAAACCTCTGCTGCGCATAGGTTTACGTTTGTTATTGAATTCATGATTTGTACATAACGAGATCCTCACAGATCCCAACATGGACGATTCCCCTAGGGTCCGCTGGTGGGCTGATGACCGAGACTGCCCGGTCTGGTCGCGCTATCGTCGAAACTTCTCACGCTGGAGGCACTGGTCACTGAGAAAACTATCCGCGAGGTGCAGTTTGCAAGTCTGGTGTTGCCGTCACCGGGACATCTCGTGCTTTGTGGACGTGCACGGGGTTGCGGAACGCTTATTGGGTCGTGCGGAGCACGCAGGGCATGCGGTCGGGTTGTGCGGGCAGGTTGCATTATCGAAACACGCAGGTTCGCGTTGTCTACGCGGGCTTCGGTACGGGTCGTATGATCTGCACGGGCGCTGCACTGTCTGCTTGCGCATTCCTGCGTGAGCTGTGCGTGGGTCACGCACGGTGTTGCGTAGGGCTCCGGCGCTGGCGCTTGCAGTTGCGGCTGGTACATCTGATGATACCGATGGATGCACCTATCTCCGGTGGTCGTGCTCTCCAAGTTTCATGGTCGTCCGAGGTGCTTTGAAGATATATATATTCGACGGGATGTATATATATATATATATATATATTCGTTCGGATGTCAAACCTAAAATCTTGGGATCTTCTGTTGTATGACCTTTACACCTGCTCCGAATCGTCTTGATGGAATGACTAAATGAAACTCCCGAAGCCTCTAATTTTCTTTTCTTAAAACCTCTCTGTTTTATACGATTTTTCTCAAAGAGAAGAACTCTCTATCTTGCACGAGTTTATCCGTGTAAAACATTATGAAATCCTAGACTTGATTAGATTCTATTGACTCCATCAACAACATTATAAGGTCCCATACTTGATCTTCATAATTTACGTCATACACATTTATCGGCTAAATTTCATTTTTAGTACATTATGTTGGTCATTTTTCGAAAAGGGTCCATCATATAGGGTGTCATTATGAATGGTTGACTAAGTTTCACTTTAATCAAAACTCGTACAATAGCCAACATAGTGTATTAAAAATGGCAACTAAAAATGATCACTTTTAGTACTTGTTGGTTATTGTACATATTTTGATTAAAGTGGCGACTTAGTAGATCATTATTGATGATGTCCTATATAATAACATTTTTAACAAAATGGCCAACATAGTGGACTATTTTTGAAAATTTTCCCACACTTATCAAACTAATTTTCCAGCCACTCCTCGTGGACTTAGATTGCTACACAGATCCCTCCGTGCACATGTGAAAGTGATCGTCCCAGGCACTTAGATGATGATCAAAGTATGCGTGACTCAAATTAGAGTTAACGACTCAAATTTTAATCACTCTCTTAAAACTAAATAAGAACTAAAACGAAGATTCATAATTCTGCAATCTCTCACACAATACGCTCGATAAAATGATAATCGCTGCAGAAAAACTAAGTGTGCGAGCCAACTAAGTACAAGTTATACATGGCAAGTAGGTTCCTCAGTATTTCCAAATATAGTCACTCTTGTTTTTGGAAAGGAAGAATGTGTCCAGGTTCTCTCAATCACGCTCGGGTATTTCATTCGCCCATACAAGGTAAGTTCCCCTCAGTTAGCGTGCGTCTCTCTCTTCTCCACGCATGGTAAGTTCTATTGATCCACATCCATCTTCAATATAATCAATCTTTCTACCAGAATAGATAAGTCAGTTAGTTCATAAACATTTAAGCAATAAATTAGAGTATAGGAAATAAAATCAAGACGTAGTCTTCTCATGAATGTCCTTTTTGCCATCAAAATGTCGACTTTGGAATTTTCAGTTTAATGCCAAAAGTCAAATTATTACATACATAATTAATTCTACACAAATTAATGGCTAGAATTGAAAACCACATACTAACTTTATGATTGGATCAAACCCAATATAACATAATAATTATATTATTTTATATAAGCTTGCAATAAATTGTATTTCCCATAAATCCTTGGGTTACTATCTAGATATAGGCCTTGTTTGTTTTTTGGCTTTTTCAGTTAGCTTTTAACTGTTTGACCAAATTTAGCTTATTTGACCAGTTGACCAGCTAAAAAATGCGTTTGGTATTTAGCTTATTTATTCAGCGTTTTGGATTGAAAAGCTAAGTTTTGAAATGCTGCTTCTAGCAGCGTTTAGGGGAGAGCTTTTTCATTTTCTTAATTACACTCATTTATTACTGATTAGTGTCTCCACTTTGTTCATTTTAGTTTTGTAGCTTCACATTTTGTTTTTTTCTTTTTGTTTTTTTTTTTGTACAATAGCTTCACGCTTTTTTAAATGATAGACAACCAAATATATATATATATATTTTTTTTGGCAAACTTTAATTAAATATTTAGAACAGCTGGTCTTTTTTCTTTAATTTATATTCTTTCTTTGATTTTTTTATTTAATTATAATAAATATAAAATTCAATCTAAATGTACTTGAAAATATATAATTAAATTGTTAATATAAATATAATTACATAAAAACAATTTATTTGTATTACTTTATAAACATTTTCTTGAAACTATATATCAAGCTAAATGTCTAATATATTTTGCAAATCAATCAGCTATTTTTAATCTATGTACCAGTAAATATAAAAAATCCCACAAAAAAGAACTCACGCTGGGGGAGGGAGTGGGGGTATCATATTTTTATCATCAATAATTAGTACTGTTTTTAATTGAACTAATATTCATGCTTAATTATGATAGATGCATATTTTTTTAAATAATTGCATGGTTTTGTTTATATGACGTGAACTTATTTACTTGATTAAAAAATATTTTTATTTTATTATTATTTATATTTTTATTATATTTTAAACCACTTTAATAAATATTTAAAATATTAATTATTTTTATTTCTTAAATAATTATAAGTTAAGCATAAATAAGAATGATAAAGTATGTTGATGTTCTTATAATTAATTTTTCATGTTAACAGTTAATTAGAAAAAACTAATTTTACCAAACATTTTTTAGCAAACCGCTAACACTATCAGCTGGTCAAAACAGCTAACGCAATCCGCTAGTCAAAACAGCTAATGCAAGCCCTAACAGCTAACAGCTAACCGTTGATTGCCAAAGAAGGCCATTATCAAAATATAAGCTAAACTGCATCCGCACTTGTTTTTTTGTTTAATAATCTTCTACACATTTAGTAAATTACAACAGTAACACGCAAACCATAAGTACAAACTGAAAACATCGACTCCAATTTTATTTATACATTAAAACATAGCAAATACTCATAACAAAATCAAAATCATATGTATTTGTCAATTAAAATTGCTTTTGAAACTTATATTATTATTCTGTCATATAGAAGTAACCCACGTAAAAGTTGATATTTATTCAAATTCATATAATCATGTGATGCAATACAACAAATAGCGTAAATTGAAATTCGAAAGGGTCAAAATTGTTAGGGGTAGACTCGACATTTCGTTATTATCCAGGTGTTGATATATCGTCCTTCTGAACTAGGCAACTAGGGGTGAGCATCGGTCGGTTCGGTCCAGAAACCGAATCGAACCGAAAAAACCGAAAGCCTAAATTGTAATAGCATTGCAAACCGAACCGAACCGAATAAGCATTAAAAACCGAACTACAACCGAACCGAAATTATCGGTTCGGTTCGGTTTTGCAAATCGGTTTGGCCAGTACATTAAGCTATTGATAACAATCTCATTTTGCAAATATTTAACAAGTAACAGAATATCCTGATCAAATCAACAACATTCCAAAAGTGAGCTCATTTTAGTGTTCTACAAGAAAAAAAAAAGAAAAAAAATGTAACCAATAACCATCAAAATAGTACACATACATTGATTATGTTCCAAAATATATCACCAGTCATCACCAGACACAACCAATCCCATAACATAGGTACACATTCCACAGAAAACATAAGTTTAATAACCGATAAGCAATGAAAAAACAGCAAAAAGATGCAACTGATAGCATTCCATAAAACATCAAAACGACAATGAAAACAACAAAAGAGCAGCAAAAACATCCAAGCACGATCAAACAACAGCAGCATAGGAGGCAGCATCACAACAGGCAGTAGCAGCAGCAAACTTAGTCTCCTGTGTTTAATAATGATGGTCCGATACCCACATTTGGTAACTCTACAACATAAAAATCAAATGCAAGAAGTATATTACGATATCGAAAGTCAAGATTCAAAAATAAATAAATAAATAAATAAATTGAATTACCTTTTTCAAAGGTTTCAACCTCATCTTGTAGTTCTTCAACACTTAAAGGCTTATTTGAACCTCGAAGCCAATCTCGTGCACATATCAATGCTTCAACAATCTTTGGAGTCAATGAACTCCTAAACACATTAAGAACCCTTCCACCGGTACTAAATGCAGATTCTGAAGCCACGGTTGAGATTGGGACTCCTAAAATATCACGTGCCAATCACGAAAGAACATGAAATCTTCCTGAATTAATTTTCCACCACTTCAACACATCAAGGTCCTCAGAATCCTCAAAGACTTCCTCATCCAAGTAAACTTGTAGTTCAGTTTTTTTTTTATTCTGCCACCTTCACTCTCCAATTTCTGTTGCTTATATCTAGCTTTCAAGACATTCACTGGCTTCTTCGTGACTTTTATAGAACTAGAATCATCAATCATAGGAGAAACAGAACTAGAGCTCCCTCGATTATCATCTTCAACATTTGGCTGGTATTTTCTTTCATATTCTTTGAACAACTCAAAGAGTCCATTTCTTATACTTTCAAACAATGCAACACCCTGTTCAGCCTCGTACATCTCGCTAAGAGAGTACTCCATGAACTCAAATTTATCACGAGGATCAAATACAGTTGCCCAAAATATTATTTTGTTCATGCTCTCTGAATCCCCCCCAATATTTATCAAACTTTGATTTCATTGATGTGCCCAAGTCTTTGATTTCATAATCATCACTTTCTTTCCATTCATTCAAAATGCAACACAAATTGCTAATCTCATTGAAAAAAGTATGAGAAGTAACATATAATGAAGCCGAAATGCGCAATGTCATCTCATAAAAATGCTTCAGTAAGTCTGAAATTTTCTTCACACAGGACCAATCAAAAGACGTTGGGACTCCATGTTTAGCTAAATCAGTTGCAAAATATGGTTCTTGCTCTTCAAATCTCTCAAATGCCTTTTCAAACTGTGCAGTTGTTTTTAACATAAGATATGTAGAATTCCACCTTATAGCCACATCTAGACATAAAAAGCTCTTACTCTCGATACTTTCCCAATCAACACAATCTTTGAACTTTTTAAGTCTAGCAGGTGAATTTCTAATATATCTTACTGCTTCTCTCACTCGCTTCACTGAAGGTTTGATATCTTTTAGGCCTTCGGTAACAACCAAAGTAATTATATATGCAATACACCTCATATGAAGGAACTTACAATTAGCCCCACTACCACCCCAGTTCAACATTCTCCTTTTAAAGAAGGCAATAGCTACATCATTTGAACTTGCATTATCTACAGTGACCGTGAAAATATTCTTTAATCCCCAGTCAAGAACACAAGCTTCTATCGCCTTCCTAATGTATTCACCTCTGTGGCTATTAACAGGCACAAAACTAAGGATTTTTTTATGTAAGTTCCAGTCATTATCGATGAAATGAGCTGTGATGCACATATAGTTAATTTTCTGAACAGAAGTCCAAGTATCAGTTGTCAGACTAACTCTTTGGCAATTATTTTTCATAAAATGCTTCAACTTTATCCTCTCACCAGCATACAATTGAAAACAACCCCTGGACATAGTCCATCTTGATGAAATTTTAAACCTAGGGCAAACTTTAGACATGACTCGGCGGAATCCTTCCCCTTCTACAAACTTGAATGGTAATTCATCAACAATGACCATGTATGCAACAACTTTTCGAATTTCATCTTGATCAAATTTCCATGCAGTAAGTGCACTTCTACCATCATTATCAAGATTACATGGTTGCAAATTTAACACGGTTTGTCCAGGTTCACACTCTAGGTTCCCTTTACATGCAGCCATGTGTTGTTTTAAAGATGAAGTCTCATTTCTTTTGGAATGACAAGAATAAACTTTTTCACAGGAATTGCACTTAGCTGAAATTAAATTACCCATTCTCATCCTCATTCTGAGTGAAGTATGACCAAACAATGGATCTTGGTCTCATGTGTTTTCTTTTTGTTCCTTTTCCAGTAGGACCAGTACCACTTTTGTTTGAGGCTACATCAGCACCCTCAGCCTCAGGCTGTATATTGGCATTTGAGACTTCAGAATTGTTCTCCATATGCTCGTCTAATGGTTCCATTCTTCTGTATGTATACAAGAAAAACAAATTTTATCACTCAACATTCAACAATCAACAACATAAGAACAGTAAACAAAAATAAACAACTTTACACATACCTAAAATTAAAGTTATAACTCCATTTCAGGCTATCATGCTATGCTACTCAAATTAATTTACAATTCTATACGAAATTAATTATTTGTCAGTACATAGCTTTTTTTCTCATTTTTTCAAAATCAAATTATCAACCCATAGCTCGAGTCTTAAATTTTCAGCCCAAAAAAATGAGAGAGTGAATGTTGAGAGCCGAGGCCCGAGAGAGAGGCATAGACTTTACCTGAACCCAATGAGCTATGGCGGCTGAGATCGAGAAAGTGAGAATGAGAGAGTGAATGTCGAGAGCGATGGCGGCTGAGATCGAGAAAGTGAACGAGAGAGTGAGAGTGAATGTCGAGATTGAGAGTGAGATCTGATAAGTGAGATCTGATTTTGTGATTAGGTATTTAGGTCTTAGCTTTGTTAAGATAAATTAATATTATCTAATTAAACCAATCCTGGACCAATATTCTAATTGGGCTTTTAAATTATGTGTGCATATTTATTGTCTATTGGGCCTATTAATATTAAATCCACATATATTGAAACTTACAATTACTTAAATAATTCGGTTCGGTTCGGTTAATCCGAATTTTTATTTTAAAGCACCGAATCGAACTGAATAAACCGATTTCTTTTAAAATAAAAACCGAACCGAATTTTGTAACAGAAAAACCGAACCGAATACTATTCGGTCGGTTAATTCGGTTTAAACCGATTATTGCTCACCCCTACTTAGGCAACCGTAGAAGCAGGGCCTAATACTCTGCCGTGCTCTCTCTCTCCGGCGTTTGGAGGCACATTCTCTCTCTCTACACCGTCCCTAAGCTTCCGTTGTATCTCAGTTAAACACATGTACTCAATTATAAACATTTCCTCATTTTTATTTTATTTTTCTTTATGTATTTCCCATTCATTAGAGCTTGAATTACCCACAAATTTGCAGGCTCTCTCTCCCATTCTCCTCCTCATTTTGCTCTAACTGACACAACGTAATCCGAACCCTAGATTTATTTGCACCCTGCGTGAGCCGTGGCCAACTCTTGTTGCAGCAAGTTTGTTTGAGGCAAAGGCAAGTGTTCTTCCCCTTTGGCCACGCTTTCAAATTATTCGCAAATTTCGTTCTGCATGTCAATCTTGATTTTGAACGTTGCACAACAATTTTTCATTATTTGACAACGTTTTCAATTTTTGCCTAGTGAATTTGGTGCTGATGTTTTACATTCATGCAAGGAAAATAAAAATTGTTTTTTTATTTTTTTATTTATTTTTTTTTTCTTTTCTTTTCTAGGGAATTAGGTATAAAATTGTTTGAATTTGGAGAGGCCAATATTCAATAGAATTTGTTTAGGCCTATTCTCTTCATTTCTCATTTTTGTCCATGTATTTTTCTTGCTAGTGGATTTTTCTTTTTGCACATTTTCAGTCTCTTGATGAACAAAACCTTCTTTGTAAATAATTTGATGGATGTAATATTGATTCTTGCATAGATATAATAATATAAAAAAATGGTTAAAGATGATGTCGAAATTGAGGATGCTGTAAAGAAGGATCGTGATTCGGAAAACAATATTGAAGAGTTAGATAGTAAAGCTCTTGATTCTAAGAATGAAACCACCAGGGCAGAAGGAGAAAAATTGCCATTCCTTGTTACTGATGCAGAGAATGCAAATAAAAGTGATGGTATTGGTCAATGCTTAAACGAATTGAAAAAAGAAGCTGAAGACGTCATGGTGAACGAGATGAAAGCCAAAATTGATCCTCAAACTGAGACGAAAGAGTCAATTACTGTCAAGGGATCAACTGGTGAACTAATGGATTCTTTTGCTATGAATGATGAGAAAAGTAGCACAAAAAATAATGTTGATGAACAAGCACTGGATAAACAAAGTGATGCTAAGAGTGAAATGGTTGAACAAAATGCCTCTATCTGTGGGGTGGAAAAAGATGAGAAATCAACTGAGAATGTTGTTGAAGTTGCAAATCCTGTAGAAAATGCGTTGGAGGCAAATGCCGGTGGAGATGTTTCGGTAGAAAAGCATGAAGATGGTGAAGGCACAGATCCAAATGCTGGCACTGGAAGTGATAAAAATATGCTAGTTCCAGTTGACGTACCTCCAAATGAAGCTCCTTCAAGTGGAAATGCTGAATTAGATAAAGCTATGACTGGTGGGAACCAAGAAATGGAGGATGCTTCTGACCTCAACGAGGAAAAAACAACTAATGATGAGCTGAAAGACCAGGGCAAAGAAATACTTCTGAAAAGTCCTATGGCTGTTGAGAATACTAAAACTATTGAGACTGCAGCCGAACATAAAAGTGATCATCCTTCACTGCCAGTCAAGCATGAATCTGCCACGCCAAGTTCCCTTGTCAGATATTCGCCTGCGAGAGCTGGGGACCAAAGTGGAGAAACAATCAGTACTGTTTTTACTCCTGCAGCATTGCCTCTGGTAAAAGAATTTATTTATTGAAGATTGTATGTACAATATATGGTAGTTGCTAAACTGATAGCATGAATGATCCACATATTTCCATGTTTAATTGTTTTTCTCAACTATCTAGATGGCAGAGGATGACAATGGAACACCTGAGGAGCAAGCAGCATTCATGAAGATGATTGAAAGTTTCTATCGTGAAAGGGCTACAGATTTTAAGCAGCCGAAATTTTATGGGCAGCCACTCAATTGTCTAAAGTATGCATCCTTTGTTTTTTTTTTTTGGTTATGTAAACTTTGCTCCTCATAAAAATTAAAACAAGTACCTTATTTGATTTCTAGGTTATGGAGAGCCGTGATAAGATTGGGAGGCTATGACAGGGTATGAATATCCGACGTTTTCTATTCTCTTTTATTTTCTTCAATCTACATTTCATACTGCATTATTGGTTTATGGGCGCTTAGATTTTGACGTGTGTGTGCTTTGTGTTTGTGGTGCAATAAGTGTTATACTTGTATATATATGTATATGCCACGTGGCTATATTGCATTATGCTTTCCTTCTTTGATGCCAGCGGAATTAAGAGAAAATAACACTATTTGACAAACTACCTCATTAATGTTGTTAGTTTTTAGATTAACACATGATGAACTAGTTATAGCCCTTTGTTTTTTGAAAAGAAACTTCCTTTATGTTGGGTATTTAGCAGTTGAATTCTATTGAATATGACTGACTTAGATGATCAACTCAGTTATTGAAGTTTCCCATGTTTGGGGTCATTTTACTTCATCAACATGGTTTAGAGAACCTATCTTATTGCAGTCCAAATATATGATAGGCATAGTTTACAGGTAAACTTAGTGATTAAAAAGGCGATATGATGGGCATAGTTTACTGGTATACTCAGTGATCGATGCAATTGAATTGCCATGGCGTGAGGCGTGGTGAGGCGATGCCTGGGCGTCTCGAATAAGTGCGGCAAGGCGCTCGCTTGATCAGTCAAGGCACTAATCCTAATTTGGGGCATATGTTTTTAGTTTTTTTTTTTTTTTTTTTTTTTTTTTAATCCAAGTTAAAACCTTTTTCGAGAAACGGGCGCTACATCCTAACATCAACCAACAACACACATGCACGAGCTAACAATAAAACAAATACCAAAACATAAGTCTCAAACCATTTTAAAAGGTCTAGCCTTATTCAAAGTTCAACCAAATCCTACACATACATAAGCCAACAGTTATACAAATAAACCAGCTTATTCAAGTCTCAACATTATCCAAAAAGTTTAACATAAATCCATGGTTCATCCAACACAAACATGATTTCAAGCTCCTTAGATTGTATGTAACTTGTCTATTGTCTATAAATCTTTATTTTGGTTGGCCTCGCTAGTCGCTACAGGCTTGTTTCCGCGAGGTGCCTCACTCCTTTTTAATCACTGGATATATCATGTATGAACCCTGCATTTTCGTTTTGGGGTTACATATAGTTGTATTTACAATGTTACTTACGTTATGGGTGAATGATTGCTTCTTGTGGATATGTGGTACTCGCTATAAGAAATAGTGTTAGGCTTTAATTTATGCCAATGAATTTCTAAATTTTGTGCATTGCTGCAGGAAAAGAAGATTTCAACTTGACTGATTTTTATTTTGTATTTGTTTGGTATGGGTTGTTAGTATATGTTTTTCTGGACAAAATATTTATATTGTCACTATAATCTTGGACGATTGCCTTTTTGATTTCCTTGTTCTGTTTCACTTCACTTTAAGTGTAGACCTGCTATTTCTCCTTCCATGTAGATTCACGTATAAGCATCATTTGGTGTATGTCTTGAAATGCTATTTATTATGTGAGGTGTGGAATATTTGAGTAGACACTTCTGGTCAATGTTTGTCAGACCATATCGACCAACTTGGACAATCCCAAATTATGCACCTTGTTCTGTAAGCTAATGAGCAGCCCGTGCGATGCACAGACGGGCTTGTCCCTTAAAATATTTTCCTAAAACTTTATTTTAAATATAATTATTATATTGAACATCTCATTATGGCAAGAAAAGAAATACAAACTATGAAAAATCATATATTATTGATTTGAATAGAATGAGTCTCAATCAAACCAATAACATCTAAACACAATGATATATGATAAAATGATTTATATGTATTGTCATTCTATTTAAATACAAAATAATATAAAAACTATATGTAACATAATAATAAACAAAATAACCAATATATTGTGAAACATGAATGTTGCGTAAAAAACATCAATTTCCCGACATTATCTTATCACGTAACGTAACTAAAGCTCCTAAAATTGAAACTATAAAATGGAAAAGCACCCTTGTACTTATATTGTTCGATTTTTCCATGAACGATGGCCTGCGAAGTTACGACAATGGATTTGGATATGCCGACGTTCTACTGGGTAGTTCCAAAGGGCATAAATATAACTTTCCTCGAAGTCATCGATAAATTTGAGAATATTAATCGGCTGAATAATGTCAGTTATTCGGCCACCCCATCAAGTAACCCCCATCTCAGTTCATAAAAAAGCGATTATTCTCAGTGACTAAAACAATATCGCTTATAATATAACTTAAACATAGTTGTAATTTAGACATACCTCCGAATACGAATAATGGAAGATGATTTCGAGCACATTTTTGTTGAATAAATAGAGTAGTAATTTAGAAACAAAGATGTTAAATGACCAAGTTCCATTAACTTGTCCGTTTAGCCCCAAAAATAATATGATTGGAATATTTATTTTCACCTATTTTAATTGTTGTTATTTTTTATCAGTAGGCTGTTTAGCTTGAAATTTAATCACTATATTAGCCCGCTGACAATATTACTACGAGTTTTATGGTAGAAGATTTCTAATTAGACTGTCAGTTTTTATAAAATAAAATATTACATCAGAAACTAATGGAATGAATTCAAACTTTAAAAGTTGTTGTAGTTTGATAATTTCGACAACCAATTGCCGTATGGAAGAAACGTGATAGTATGGACATCAAGATAATGAAGAGTTTGTTAGCAATGTGATTATATGTAAGTTAAGATAAGATGGAATGCATATCACGTAAAAGAACCTAAAAAATCTGCGTGTGATCTTCATTAAAATGTTAATATCAATTTCAATTTTTCCGATGGGATTTTTCGAAAAATTTCCAAAAACATTACCAACTTTAGTAACTTTGAAATATATAGGCGGGGATTTAGTTACTATTTAAAGTAAATAGGTTGTCTCTTTATATATTAATAATATATAATAGATATTTTGCAGTTCTATTGGGTTATAATACAATTAACATACTCTTCAAGATCGTTTCTCTATTTAGGTTGATTTAGATATTTATGCAAGTACTCCACCCACCTTCCTCAACAGTCAGAAAGTTTGCCAAATTTCCTCTTTCTAATATTTGCGAAACACCTGCGGTAGTAAACAAATAACATTTTGATGCAAGAAACAAATATAAATCATTAAGATAGTTTTTTTCTCATACTTGATCCTTTAGGAGGGGTGTTTTTTTTGAAAATTCTTTTGGAAGTGCAAAGTGAAAAATGCAACTCAAAATCATCAACGATCCTCGTGGAGGGTACAACTTTGTAGGCTTCCTTAATAATTAGTTGAAGAATTACATACGAGCCTTGACATTCCACAAGGGTTTTGTAGCTGTGTTTCAAACTCACGGAAATTTTAACATCTCTCCCGTGTTATACAAATTTGACAGAACTCTTAGTAATTGTCTGACTCTGCAATATATATACCAATGTGTTCGTGTTGCATAATTTTCTGGTCAAAATCTTCATAAAACATCGATTCTATTGTTTATATTTTTAAACTTTTATTCCTATCCTTGAGATATAAGCTTTTCTACGTATCTTTGGTTGGACTAGATGCATCAGTCTAATTGTATTCATGTTTCCGTATTTAAGTTTGTAATGTTATTTAAGTTTTCTTATTTGTTCTTTTTCATTCTTTTGGTAGGTAACTGGATCCAAGTTGTGGCGGCAGGTGGGAGAGTCATTTCATCCACCGAAGTAGGTCTTTTTGTCGAAATGTAGACTATTATTGTTTGCTTATGCATTTAGAGTTTTTTCGTCTGGTATTATTTTTTCAGCTAATCTCGTGTGGATACATTGGCACACTATGAAATTAATTTACATTTTTCCTCGGAACATTTTGTTGCCTAAACAGAAAATAATTGTTGCCAAACGACTGCATTAGTTTCTGTGTTTGAATACTCATTATCAAACTTATATACATGTTTACTACGAGCATTTTGTACACTAAACAGAAAACAATTGTTACGAACTGAATGTGGTAGTTATCTGTTGAAAATTGGCAGGATCTTGAAATGAGTAGAAAATTCTTTAGTGTATTTATAAAGGCCCATTGATCAGATTTCCTATTCCATTCGAAGGAATATTTTGTATAGATACACTTCCACGCATCCTTTTGCATGATAGATATGCTTATATAGCCTGTCATAAGCTTGATCTCTGGAAAAGGTATTGAGTATGTTTTGAAAGTGAATTTGGACTTGGTCTTTGCTTGGGCAGGACTTGTACAACAGTTTCATGGACGTTTCGCATTTTCTACGAGAAGGTAACTATCTAGCTTTATAATCTCACTGTTGTATTTCCACCCCACTGGAAAAAGGTGTGGTTCATCTGCAACTAGTTGTGCTCTTCATCAGTGGAAGATCTAATTTATTTTGCTTTTGGTTTTAACTGGAATAGTATTATAATATAACTTTATCTGAGTACATGCCATTCCTCGACAATTGTGGAAGTTATGGACTTCCTCGACAATTGTGGAAGTTATGGATCCACAACGGAGAAATTAAGCTTTTTACATAATTATTATTCTTTAAGCTTGCTTATTTTATCTATTGGTGTAGTTAAGNCTCACAATTTCATTGAGCAAGAAATTTCCTATATTTGTACCAGTCTCTTCTGGAATATGAAAAGCATAAGATACAGAGCGGTGAGCTTGAACTTCCAGTAGATGCGTTAAATGAAGCTTCTGGTGCTGATACTGAGGTGGTTTGTATTTTTTATCCTATTTTCTTTTTAAATATAATTTAATCTATCTCGAGGAGTAAGGACATATAAGGTGTGAAATCTTGTTTGAATTTTTGTACTTGCTAGAAATTTTTGGTCCTAACTAGTGATTGCTTGTAACATTTTTCCAGAAAGTACACTATTCATGCTTTTTCACTGTATCATCAATCACTAAAAAAATTCTCATCAACTATTTTTTACATTTGATAATACAAATACACTTTTTGTCTTTTCTTTCTAATCACTAGCCACGTTCATTCGTAGTTTTACTAAGTAAGATCAGGCATTAATTCCATACTTATTAGGACTGCAAACAAGTCAAGCGGATTGCGAGCGGCTCGTCGAGCCCGAGCCCATGCCCAAGCCCATGTTTTATAAGTTCGAGTGTTTGACGAGCCGCTTGAATACAAGTGTAGTAATGCCCTCAATTTATAACTCACATATATTAATATAGAAAAATGTGGGTCACAGCTCACACCTCCCTTCCCAGCCGGTAGCCCCAAATTTCAAAGTTCAAAACCCTATTTTATTTGAAATTACATCAGTGCAGCCATCAAATTTTTTCCTTTGTTTCTCTTTTTCTCTTGAGAAAGGTTGCTGATCTGCTTGCACGACCAGAAATATCCTCCAAATTTCAAAGTTCAAAACCCTATTTTATTTGAAATTACATCAGTGCAGCCATCAAACTTTATCCTTTGTTTCTCTTTTTCTCTTGAGAAAGGTTGCTGATCTGCTTGCACGAACAGAAATATCCTCCATCTCCAATCACTGCAGACACAGTCCATCCTCCACACCTCTTGCTCAAATGAATTATCCTTCTCGAGATTTTGGGGAGCTTTATCGATGGATTTTGCTTGTTAAATCTACTAATTAGGAAATGAGATTGTAGTTGGATCAAGATTAGTGTTTTTTTCTCTTTTTCTGTTTCAAGTCTTACAAGAAACATTTTTTCCCTTGTAGTAAAGATTTACAGGTATTGATTAGTTGGAGACAATTATCTTTGTTTATTGTATAATCTCTTAGCTATGTTTTTACCTGATTTGGATGAGGTGTTGACTTGTTGTGGCATTTTTGGATCTACGTTTTGATTTGTGGAATAACAAAATCATCAAGTTTTGAATGGAAGTGTTCGAGCCGAACACGAGCACTTTCTGAGCATTTGATTTTGAGCTCTTTCGTGCCAATCCCGATCACCTTTACTTTTGTAATGAGCTGAGTCGAGCAACTTAAATTTGGGCTAGTTGAGTTTGAACTCGAGCAGTGGTAAAAATTTACAGTCCTTGCTCGATAAGGTCATTGATCGACTCGGCTCAGTACATTTGCACCCTAATACTTATATATCGTCTCATATTCAGTTAAAATCAAAATTTGATCTTATTTTTCAAGAATGGTTTCCTACTCTACTCTATTCAGAAATATAAATTAGCAGAATGAGTGCTGAAGTTGTGGCCTCTCTCTCTCTCTCTCTCTCTCTCTCTCCCTCTCCCTCTCCCTCCATCTCTCATGACCATTCGTGTCTTTGCATGCATGATTGGTACTTTGAAATTGAAAGGGAACTTGCTGCTGTTATTAAATTTAAAACTGATAGGCATATATGTTGACATTATGTTTTTCCCTTGCATTCTGGTAGAAGATATATAGGCAAGAGGATTTCCGGACTGCTTTTATTTTTTGCTACAAAATTTAATCCCCCTCCCCTGTATGCATATATGTCCTTGTGTACTTTTTGTGGTTATCGATTTCTTGTTTATGGTCCACATCTATTTTAGAATCTTAGTCATTTGTCTGCATTTTTTAGCATTCAAATACTTAAGGAAAATGTAAGTGAATGAAAAAACTTCTATACCGTGTTACCTTACATTTGGTATTATCTCAAAATTCTCAGGGCAATGGCTTTCAAGGAGCAGGATCGGGAAGGGCTAGAAGAGATTCTGCTGCTCGTGCTATGCAGGGTTGGCATGTCCAACGCCTTTTTGACAATGGAGAGGTTGGTGAACCTGTAATAACGTTTTGTAGAAACTAGCATCTTAAAAGGCTCATCATTTGATTTCTCGCAGTACGTACGAAAACGTTTCTGTTCTTATGTAATGCTGTGCAGGACAAGGGCATAAGCAACACGACAAAGCGTGAGAAAATCGTCAAAGCCATTGGTAGTTTAGTTGTAAAATTTTTAATGCATATGCCCCTCTTCTATTTACCTCTTGGAAATGTGGATATTAATTAACTATGCTTTGTCTTATTGTCACTTTTTGGTTTTACTGTCTCGCTTATCTTGAGTTTGAACGTCTTGATTTAGGTCCACTCAAGCATAAGAGACCAAGCGAAGTGGAGAACCCTGCCAAGGCCACTCGAGTTGAGGCATCAAAACAGTTAAGCCTTGTCTTGTTACACTTTCTATTGGACTTCTGTTGTAAATAGACTTGTATATGTCCAATGCTATAAGGTTTAGAGTGGCGGGGTTACCTATACTTTAGTCTATATTACGAACCTTAGGGTTTTGGATGAAAGTCTCTTTTGATGTGAATAGCCATATATATAGATGAGCTATACGGGCCTTATGGGCCTGTGATATATGGGCCTTGATATAGTTAACACCCCTTCAAACTCAAGGTGGACGTGGAGGGTCCAAAGCATTGAGTTTGAGCAAGTGAAACTTCTGTTTGTGAAGAAATCTTCCACTTGGGTACATACTGAAGAACAATGTCAATTGTTTTTTGATAACAATGAGACGGGGTAACGGAAGCATCGACACCTCAACACTAATATATTTTGTAAGTTCATGTTTCACAGGATCATTACACAATTTGTATGGCTGCAATTTGTATGACTCGAGTATTATCTCGAAGAAGAGGTTTAGGAGCATGGAATACCAAAGTGTAGTGAGATATAGGGTGTAAGGTGGACTGAACTAGATCCAAGAACACCTGAGGTGGATTCAGCGTCAGAAATAGTGACATGAGTTATTGAAATAGTCAAACCAAACAAAAGATGCTTGCAACAAAAAAATGAATACCAAAGGCATGTAGAACAAGAATTCCCAACAATCTAGCATTGATTAGAAAAATTTATGGCAACATGCGCGTGGGATTGCTGGCAGAAAAATATGGTGGCGCGTGTGAGGTGCTATCTTTGAATCTCGATCGGAAACAATGTAGAAATGTAGAAATGACCTGGTTGGGCAGTGACATCTGAGCCCATTTCGGCAACGTCTAACGCATCAAGACACAATGTTTGTAAACATTAACAGCATATTATATAAACAATACTACTACCCATTTCACCGAGTCTATTGATTCATTAAATGAATCTCACTTTTTGGCAGATTAAAGTAAAAATTAATACATACTGAGTACATATGCTCGTTATTATATTACCGATTTAGAGTACCAGTAATTACTGAGATCTAGTTCATTTTATAGTCAATATAAAATGATCTTATTCAAAACTTCGAGTGTACTAGTGTAATTTATTAGTTATGATCAACTCATTCCAAAATTACACTACAACAGTTCACGATAGTTTGTTCTGCTTATTGTGTACCATATCTATAATTTACAAGAAAGTAATATGATTTTCTGTTCACTGCGATGAACCATATTATCATAAATAAAATACATTGTTGATTTTTCTGATGTATGTATATATTCATGTCTTGCTTTACATGTACTAGTGGATTTCTGGATGTACTTCCGTATAGATTATTCTATTCCTAGTATTGGTCTTGGTGAAATGCATTTGATTTGATCCATGTCGCTTTACTCTTAAAACCAGCGAAGCTGAGAACCTTAAAATTGTGACTGAAGTTCAATTGTGTACAAATATGACTTTACTAACTCAGGCAACGAACTCTTTTACTGTTTATGACTACTAGATATCTGGATCTATATGTGCGGTTCTTGAGCATGAAATTTGCTTTGTCAGTGATATTCAATATAGATTATCACTATAGAGGGGGTCAGTTAGCAGTCAATACCAAGAATGATACTAAGATGTAAAGGAAATTAGATATTATCATGCTGGCTAGAACAATATGCTTAGATCAATAATGAGGAAGAAATTTGTATTGCAGAGTTTTTCAGAAATCTTGCATACATAACAATGGAGCCTTACATGCCTTTTATATCCTAACATAGATTAATCTAGAACAAGCATCAACAAGAAATATACTACTACCATTCTTATCTACATGCTGACGTGAGAATGCAAGGTGGCATGAAGGACCACGAGGCTGACATTATCCTGGTACCATGGGAGTGAGTGCAGCAGAAATGTGCTCTACTATTGGTACAGAAAAGCACTTCTGGTTATGCTAACTTGTCCTCCAAGTTTGGCTTGTCTCTTATAAGATGCCCGTATCTTAATAGAATTTGAATGAGGAAGTTTAAATTGCTTCCAATTGTGCTAAAATTAATATATGACTTCCCACAGTATATTATTTACTAGTAAACTTGTTTGAGAATTTGATTCCTCCTCTTTGTTGCTTACCAACTGACATTTAGCATAACATGAGATTTAGACATCAAAATAACAAGCCTTAAAACACACACACACACACACACAAATATATATATATAATAATAATAAAGATAAAATAAAAATAAAAAAGATGAGCGAAGCTGGTATTTGGATATGAATAAAAAAGTTGTTTTGTGACAACTTTTTCTATCTTTTGGGTTAGCTATTGATTTTGTCCCCTTACTGCTATTCACTTGGTAGGCTGGCGACAACAGTTGTTGATGTTGGACCTCCAGCTGATTGGGTAAAGATCAATGTTCGCCAAACGGTACGTTCAAACCAAAATGTTTTGTTGTTTTCTCTTTGCACTGCATAATTTAAGCTATACACACTGGAAGTAGACATGATTTGCTTTACATGTGCAGAAAGATTCTTTTGAGGTTTATGCTCTAGTCCCGGGGCTTCTACGTGAAGAGGTTTGTTCCGTCTGAAAAGTTTTTTCCATAAATTTCTTTACCTTCCAATGGATTTTGATTGTTTCATAACCCCCTTCCCCTACCCATCCACACGCACACCATTTTTTGATTTGGGCAAAATATCATGACTATATATTATCACTACATCTTGCTCCTTTATTTTTCTATATGTATATACTTTTTGTCTAAACAATAAAAGCAAATGGTACATTTTATGTTTCACAGTTGTGTATCATGGGTTGTTTGACTCACTATTATGCATATAGTTGTAGCTATAGTGGGATACGTTCTACACCCACTCATATATTGTTACGAAGTTTCGAGAACAGAAATACGAGGCTTTACCATTCTTTTTTTAACAATAGAGGGTGATACTAATTTGAAGGTTTAATTTGTTAACTTTCCTCACTAGGCAGGTTAACAAAATTACACCTTCTAAATAGTGTAAATGCGATTTTTTTTTTTTTTTAACTGGAATTCTTCAGTTTTATAATTTCTCTATATCATTGTTTTGTTTTGCAATTTCTCCACCCTGGATTTATATGTGTTCCTGTTTATATTATCAGTTTTCTGTTGAGTAACCACGGATGATAAAATTTACTCCATAGTAGGATTTTTTTTTTCTTCTTTAAGAGCTCATGTCATTATTGTGAATAATGTAAATACATCTCAATTTGATACTGTAAATCAGGCAGAATATGATAATAATGTACTTTTTGGTTGATTAGGTCCGAGTTCAATCCGATCCTGCTGGACGTTTAGTAATAACAGGTCAGCCCGAGCAAGTTGATAACCCTTGGGGAATTACACCTTTCAAAAAGGTACTCCTTAAATGACAGTAGATATAATTTTTGCGGTTAACTGGCTAAGTTTTCTATATCTTATTAGAGATTTAGCAGGTGATTGATTGTATATCCACTTATGAAGTTTCTAATTCTAAATTATTCTATTATCACAATAAAATCAATTGAAAAAAGAGTATTTATGTCCCCACACATTTCTAAGCCTAGAGCCAATGTAGATATATTCCGATGGTATTTCTTTTATTTTTATTTTTACTACTTTTTTCCCCATTTTCTTAAATAATTTGTTGAGCTGGTATAGAAAAAAAGTCTAGTGGTTGCTGGTTGGTTTTGCAGGTAATCAGCCTACCTTCAAGGATCGACCCACTCCAGACTTCTGCTGTGGTTAGCCTGCACGGACGTCTTTTTGTCCGTGTCCCCCTTGAACAGTCAAATAGCTAACTGTACCCTTCTCCATATTTCATCTTTTGTTTGCTTTCAAAGACCTGTCATAAAAGCAGGTGAATATGTGTTAGCTTTTTTTGTTTAAGCGGTTTCTAGGTCTGTGAATACTAGTTTTGATGGAATTACATGTAAGACTGATTTTTATTTGTTTATTTATTTATTTTTTTTTTTTTCTGGATTGGGTCTGTTAGAGGTCTTAATGAGTAAAGACTGAAGTTTCTTTGACAAAGATGGTGGAGGTTTTTTTTCTTTCGAATTTTCGACCGTTAGCTGTGTAGGCCTTATAGCGTGAGACAGAGACCGCATTCTTGAACTAATTAATGCAAACTTTATTTTGGCCCTCGTGGAATTATGTCANAAAATCTAAAGAAAAAGAAATGACTTTTTTTATTTTTTTTATCGAAACGACAAGATTAATATTACTCAAAACAAATATACATCGTTCGAGAAGCCAACTGGCTCAAATACAGAAAATACAAAGGAGGAGATCCTTCCTACATAAATGGAGCAGGTTTGGGTTTGACATCGACAGAGTCTAGGCTCAGCAAAACCGATGATCAACCCAAGCCGCCATAACAATACTAAAAACTCCTGCCATGCATGCAGGGATTAGGGTGACAAAATTAACAAACCACTGCATTAGATTGCCTAGTTTGTTAACAAAACCTAAAGATGATAACTAGCAAAATAAAAGAAAACAGAGAGAAGCATTAAGAGCAAACATTAACAAATTCGGACCAGTCACTAAGAGCAATTTCTACCGTGGCTTTAGCAGGCCTTAAAGTCTGTTCAAAGACCCATAGGTTGCGTGTCTTCCACATCCACCATAAGAGGTATGTGGACAATTGTATCCTGCTTTCAGAAACTGAGGTGTGAGGGAGTGAGCATAGCTTCGTCCACCAGGCTTTAAAGGAATCCATGTGATCTTCTAATCCATCCCATGAGATAGGAGAAAACTTCCAAATCAGGCCAGCTCTGCTACATTTAAAAAAAAAGGTGCTCTTGTGTTTCAAGGCCATCACCACAAAGTTTGCAAACCTGGTCCACTCGGATGTTTCTGGTAGATAAGTTGCACATGACCGGCAAGATGTTGTTGATGCACTTCCAAATGAAGTGCTTCAGTTTATCTTTGACTTTGAGTTTCCATAACCTCCTTCTTGCACTCCTAAGCTCTGTATGGTTGGTACTTCCTTCAGGTTTATCAAAGAGACTCCATTTCTGGTTGACAAGTTTGGCATAAACAGATGCAATAGAGAAGTTCCCATTTTTGCTCCACATCCATCTGAGTCTGTCAGGTCTATGTGGGTCCATTCCAAAAATTTGCAGTATGGCATCAGCTTCCTTGGGTTGAAAGCATTCCAAAATCAGCTGCCTATTCCACCTCCTTCCTGTATCGTCCATTAGGTCCTAACCCAGGAAATGTTCCCAGGTAGAGAGTTAGTTCCACAGAGTTTAAAGCCAGGTATGCTGGTGACCCATGGGTGATCTGTGATTTTGGTGGTTCTACCATTAAGAGCATGATTGTTTATTAACTAGAAGCCAATTTAACTAGTTTTAAACTAAAAAAGTGGAGGGATAAACTAGTTTCTTACTGGATGGGCTTCTACTTGGTCCACGTGCCTTCCCCCATTTTCACACTTCATGTCAGGTTGTTGTCGGCATTTGCTGAGCACATTTAAAAAAAAAAGGGCTTGCATTTCCATGACGTGGTAGGCCACTTTTCGGAAATTAGAAGGGACGATTGTCAATTTTTGTTTTGTTATTTATTTTTTTTATTTTTTATTTTTTACATTTAAATCTAATTTGGTAATTTTGTTGGCCCAACAACAAATCTATGCACAAGAAATACATCATGGATATCTCCTTTGAACATTCATGGCAATATGTATTTGTAATAAACACACCCATATTATTTTTTTTGTTTTGAAATAACCATTTTTAAAAATTATTTATTGCTCGATAAAGGTAAATGGAGGAATTACACCATGGTTCTTATTTCAACGCTCGTTCTAATGCTACAAAAAAAAAGCATACAAAAAAAAAAGTTCCGTGAAATATGATCAATCATATTTTCTTCACAATAATATTTTCAATTTGTAGTAATAATGACAATAGTATTTTCTTCAAAAAAGCAATAATAATTATCATTTCACAAATATATTTTTATTTGAAAATTGGAATGGCAGTAAATACACCGATGAAGATTACATGTCCGACAATGAAAGGAAAGTCATTATTATTAAAAGTACATGTGCGACACCAATCTCAATTTCCTCTCCTTCTTCTTTGTGTTGCCATACGTCTTTCTTCGGCCCAGTAGTCGCGAATAACTTGGTCAAGCTTGCGATGGTTACGTTCATATCTCGCCCTCGTTTCACCAGATATGGGTCAAACCCTAGTGGTTCAAAAATTATCTTCAAGGTTTCCCATAGAGGCTCAGGATTGTTGCTATAATAATGGTCTGCTAATGGCCAAAACTGAGAGAATATGATGTACTCAAAATTTCAATATTATACATAACAAATGGAGTTAAGTCAATGTTCGTAGTAGAATATATTTATATAACAAAATAAAATACACGGAAAAAAGAAAGACAAAGATTGTGGTTCAAATTCGTACCTCAAGTGCTTCCTCACGATCGTCCTCGTCAAGATAGACGGTCTTTGCGTGTATGTCGAAAACACCCAAGGGATAATCTAAAAAGTACTTAAATGTTCGATACCTTTCTTTCAATACCATGAATGTGGTATAACATTCTTCCAAAGTCAAATTATGGCCAATTTCACCCAAACAACTTCTATATATTCTATCAAACGCCAATAATATGTCAAATTCGGAGTTCAACCCTTCTGACTGGATGTAATGTAGAAGGATTGAACAAAAACACTCCTCAGCTGCTGCAAGCCATTTCTTTGAAAATCCTTCTCGTATATATTGGAAATGTTCTTCCTTTGTTGTTGGCAATGTTAAATCCCACATAATTGACGTTATATCAAATAATGGATGTTTTGCAGTGGTGATAATTGAAGAAATACATTTATAGTGAATTCCGTGAACTTGGTTCTATATATAGGCATTACAACTCATTTTCATTTTTCGTAGGATACTATTTGCATTTACAACTCATTTTCCTTTTTTTTACATTTATATTACAACCCATGCATGCCTTCGTACATGATATTTTTTTTCATTTACAACTCATTTCCATTTTTCGTTTGAAAAACCATGGCCCACGCTAGTTGTCGTAAATGGTGTCATATTTTTGGCCGATTTCTTTTTTCCTCACTTGTCATTAATGAAAAATCTTTTTTTTCCTATTTCTTTGTTCATCACTTCGCATAAAATGTTGGGACTACAGGGTATTTTCTTTGCACATCAATAATGTTTATATGAATTAACTATAACTTTTATAAGTCATAATATGTTTATTATATGTACATAATTATATTCTCTTCAATTACATTTTTGTAATTCATATTAAAATTTATATGATGTGGAAACATTACATAAAAAATGAATATTTATTTTAAAATTCGTTGTTTGAACTTGGAAAATAAGTCAAATCTATTTAAAAGATACAATTTGCATTAACATCAAATTCCATACATAATAGATACATTAGAAAAAAGCATACACGAAAAATAAAAGTAACTCGTAATAAAATATTTTCCTTACATCATGATGAATTTAAGAAGTGCTACAATAGTTAAAAACCCCACCACCACAAAGAAACCTCTAACGATATCTGGGGATGCAATTTCATAGACTGGCGGTGTGTCATTGTTCGTTGGCGCATGGGACGTGCTTGAGTAGTTGGACCCACGAGTCGTATGACTGCTACTTTGTGCATTTGATTGCATATTACAATATGTTTGAGCAGTTTCCCTTGACGAAAAAAAGCAATTACTCTCGTCCTCCCAAAGAAAACTCCCCTTGTGTTTTAATCTTGCTGGACAACTATAAAAATACCTACCGTAATTTTTTTCAGTTTTAGCCATAAGACGGGACATCCGGCCATTTCCGCAGCAACTCAAAGGTGTTTGAGAAACCATGATTTATTCTTCTTGATGATTTGTTCGTGGGCAAAGGTGGCTTATATAGCTCCCGAAAAAATTTTCCCCCCTCAAAAAGTTTTCCCTTTTTCCTTTCCTACTCACTTTCACCCTATTATTCACCTTTTTGACCATCCTCCTTACTTTTTAATACTAATGAATGAATGAGATAAGACTTCCTGCCACATGCATGTGCCAACCTCACTCTGCACATAATAAAACGAAAGCAAGAAGCCCATGCCAGGATGTTCACGCCACAAGAAAACAAAAAAAAGGCTACCACCGTACTTGCATTGAATAGATGAAAAGACCACTCACAATCACACTTTGGCAATAGGGTTTTATTTTTTACATACAAAACCAAATAAAGCCACAACATCATATACCTGTTGTTGGCCAACCGAGCGTTCGCGAAATTTATTTTCTAGGTCGTTCTTGTTCGACAAAAGCTCGTTCATTTGTTAATCGAATGAACAAAAGGAAAAAATCAACGTTCGACAAGCTGCACAAATATATGATTAATATTTTTTTATTTTACGTAACCTAGTTATAATAAATGTGCAAATTATAATTTTGGGTATTCTTTTTTAAAAGTAGTCCATTATTTTATTTTCGCGTTCCAACGAACAATCTGTAACACGAGATTTTGTAAGGTAGAAGATATGAAATAGCCCGAACATTTGGTCGAACGAAAACGCATATTTTGAAAACACCTCGATATCGCTATTATATACTTGTATGACTAATGGCATTTTGAACTTTCCAATTTATCTTTATTCATAATACAAAAATAATCGTGTATACGTGGGCCAATATGCATGGCTATCCATTTGTTTGTAAAACAATTGCATGTGGCTCGTAATGGACTTTCTTTGGATTTTATAACTATAAGGAAAAGAATTTCTTGTATACTAATATGAACTACAAACATCTTGACAGTTTGTGTAATTTTTGTTGCACTACACATATATAAAATGATGAGGATGAATATACGAACATGAATTATAACATAATATTAGAGGATTCATGAGTACTACAAATCGTCCAAAACAATGACATTTTCAAACACAATGTTCGAACAACAACACGAGTTCACAGTAAATCACGGGCTACCCGAAAGAACACGAGTTCACTCTCAACCAACACGAGTTACCTCAAAACGAACAGAATAATACGGAACTAATGTGAAGCACAAAGTTGAGCCTTCAACCATTTTAGTAGCCTCCACAAATTCCTCCGCATCCAAATTTTGCATCAAAACCTTTCCATGCCCTTGAACTATTTGTAGTTCATATGTCATCCCCTCAAACTCCAAAATTGCTCTGAAAGTGTCGCTGGGGTCGGTAAGGACATAAGAACGCCAAAAATTTATAGGAATTGGCTGCAATAGAGGGTACGTCAAGATGAGTTTAAAAAAAAAACAAAAAAACAAAAAGAAGAACGCGAAAAAAAAGGATATTAATACACCATTACCAAACGCGCACGTTCAACATGGGTTTTCTTGATTTCTAGCGTGAAGCGGTGGCGAAGTGGACGCTCAACTTGATTGTCCGTGTGCACTGTGACTATGAAATCCGTAAGCGATGTGCGGTCGAACCACAGACAGTTGTCGGTCTTAATCTCCTCACCACGCACAAAGTTTAGCCACCCTTCAGCAAAAACCACCCGAAAGCAATTACCTCTCAGCTTAACGAGATACCTCCAATCTTTTCTGAAATACTGTTTTTGTAACTTGTGAAATGTGTGGGCCCACCACTACATATATTTATAAAAGATATATATGTTAGAGGGTAGCGACTTCCGTAAAGCACAAAACTAAATTTATTTTGTACACCAACACCCCATTCCAATTTTTTTTAATTAAAAGAAGGTCTATTGTCGTGTGCAAATAAAGTTGTAACAGTCCACATTAAATTCTGTAATAAAGAGGGGTTGTTGTATCGGGTAAAAGAGTGATAACAAATGTGTGGGCCCCCTATTTTTTTTAAGCTGAAAACGAGTCTTCCTCAACTCACACGGCTCAAAAGTGTATCCGGAGAAAAGGCATCCTCTCTCCTATTACCGCACCCACCGGAACAAATTCGTAGCTCAGCATTGAGGTAGGCTTTCATCACTTTCGTCTTTGTAGCAAGAACATAAAATATTGTTCACAATTTGTGGCTGAAGTGTTTTTGGCGAGTCCATTTTCATTTTTGTATGAGAAAGAAAAATGGCAAATATTTATACTTTTTTCATCCTCACTTGAACGACGGTTTGCCTTAACCCGTTCGTAAAAATTATTGCCGATACACACAAGTTCGAACTTGGTATGGAAATTTGTCATACTTCTATATGCAATAGAAATCGAGGCTGCAAATTTGTGGATTGAAATTCGATATAACTTCCAATTTATAGATGCACGCAAATCTCCTTTTATTTTGTGATTTTAAAAAACATTGATCTGATTTTAAAACGTCATCTTCGTGATTAATTGCTATTCATTTTATAATTTACAATGGTAATTAATCCATAGAAATATTATTATGTCATACAAATTGCAAGAGTTCTTTTTTTTTTTGTTACAATTATTCCGTATGCCGATATTCCGTGACGTGAAGAAATATTTGTACAGGTACTTTTGAATGGCAAATACGTTTGACCCGTTTGTTACAATAATTACGGATGCTAGCAGCCCGACGTTGGTAAACATTTGGCCGATTGAAATAACATGTTTTTGTTTTAAATGGTAATATTAACTTCAATGAATATCCGTCTAACAATATGCATATACTCTTCATACAGGTATTGCCCGAGTCAATCTACCATCAGTATACAAATCATGTCACCATAAATTGCACTATTGTTACTAGGGAGCACCGTACTTATGAAGTTTGGTTGGTGAAAGTCGTAGATCAATTGCAATTTGATGACAGTTGGGAATATTTTGTACGTGCGGAGGATATTCGCGGGGGCTACATCTTGTACTTCGAGCGCCAAATTCTATATGAATTTGTAGTGAAAGTGTTCACTTGTAACTCTGTTGAACGACCTCCGCAATATCGCTTCTTTGTGGAAATGAAGAAAACGCACGTAGAACGGGCACGTTTGGTACGTTTGTCGACCCACAAAAAATGTGCTAACATTTACAAAAATAAAAAAATGAATTTCACTGTTTTACTATTGTAGGCCATTCCTATGAGTTTTTGGAGGGAGCATATAGAAGACCAAATTCATGATACTAGTAGGGCAATCTTGATGTGTAAAGGACGTCGTTACAATGTTCCAATAATCCAAGGGCATGGAAAGGCGTTGATGGAACATGGTGATTGCCGCGAATTTATGGACCGAAGTGGAATCGTCGAGGACTCGACATGCGTTTTCACTTTAATTGGATATGAGTGTGTTGTTTTCAAGGTAAGGCTATTGGATGCATGAGCATGTAAGTTCACGTCTTTTGTATCTTCATATTAAAATGGAGTGGAAATCAAATTTAGACAAATTCACGTTTGACGGGGGCACGTTTCCTGTTGTGAGATGTCTTCCAATAATCAGTGACGATTGTGTGATTACTATTTATAAAATTTTTACAAGTACTATATTGGGTTTGGTTTTGTTTCGTTTTCTAGTGAACAATATGAATAGTATCAGTTTGGGTTTTTGTTTTTGTTTTTTTTTTTTTTAAATATAACCAGTGGTCATGCATATTTTTTGTTACACTAGTGCTATTTCAAGTCACCGTACATTACAACTTAAACTATTGTTTGGGGACAAAGGCTACAAATTTATGTCGATTAAGAACAACATTCAAAATTCATCAAAGAAACAAAGATACTAATAATGTAGGCTGAAATATCAATTTGGGTGTCCTCAATAGAATGAAAGGTGTGTTCGGGTTACATTAATACAAACGATGTTCGTTCTATCTTCGGTTTTCCCACAAAGATTGCGCTATCGTGTCACGCAACACACAATGGTCACCAATGTTGGGGTTCGAGTTATAATTATTGGACATAAAAGCAAACGTACGATCTTGAGGATCATATCGGCGTACGTATTCTGGGTTTCGGAATTCAGGCGGCATGTTTTCAAGCGGTTCATGAATCCGAATAAAGTTGTGTAGAACACGACATGCTATTACTATGTCGGTTTGCGAGTGAACTGTGTAGTTTGGCATCAGCCCCTTTATGATGGGGAACTTCCCTTTTAGCAAACCGAAGCTGCGTTCTATGACATTACGGACAGTGGCATGTCGTCTGTTAAACAACTCATGAGCATTGCCGAGCAACTGGTTAGACCCCAACCACTCTGGAAGATGATATCGTTCACCACGATATGGTGTCATGAAACCTGGGATATTTGCGTATCCAGAGTCCACCACATAGAATTTAGCTACATTTTGAAATGTCCACCAGAACACAAGAAAAAATTGATAAATTTCAAATATATTTAATTAATAGCATATTAATAGTGTGATAATGGAATTACCTGGAGGTGGAAAGGGAAAAGCATATCTGGGGTCGGACATAGTGTGATTAAATATACGTGCGTCATTTGCGCTGCCTTCCCAGCCGGCTAGGACGAAAGTGAACTTCAAGTCAAAATCACACGCCAACATGACATTTTGCGCCAAATAACCTTTCCTACATCTGTAAGAACCTTGCTGTCCTTCCGGCACCCACGCTGGTATAATAGTGTCGTCAATTGCGCCAATGCAATCCTAACATTAGAAATTACCATTTCAAATTTACAGTACAATGTTAGTTACAAAATATACAGTATTGGACAAATGAAGTGAAATATATTTACCTTGAAGTAGGGATATAAGTTACGATTATTTCTTATCCAAGGTGCCACACGGTTGAAGTCTGGGGGACGAATGTAGTCGGGGGCTAGATAACATAGAGCATTGATGACTTTGTGACAATGACGACTAATCGTCTCCCCCGAGTGTCTGAATGACTTAGCCGCACGTCGTTGCCTTTGATGACCTTTTATTGTATGAAGAAAAATGGCTACGCTTTCTTCAATGCCTATTTTTTGTTGTCTTGTTTCTTCGTGGAATCCCGCTCTCTTGATTTCATCACAAAGGATGGTAAAATGACATTGATTATGCCCATTGCATCTTTAAAGCGACGAGGATTTCCGGGTAATAGTTCATTTACCCAGTCCAAACCCGTGTAGGTGGATTCTCGGTAGGGGGTTCTCCTTAAAGGGGGAAATACGAACGACGAACTTTCAAAAATGTTTACAAGTTGTTGAAATTGAGCGCCCACCATTAAGGATGTCTCCATAGGATCATACTCTTCCACCGGCTCCAAATCACTATCAATGTCTTCAGGCAAATCATCGAGATCTTCCTCATACGTGTCACTATCGTCAACATAAGACATCCTACAATTAAATGTATAATAAATACACGAATACTAATATCCACAAACAAATTATAACATAAGCATGCAGTAGGCAATGTAGCTTGGAAACAAAGTTACACATAGTACACTCGTACAGTCAATGAAGATAGACAAGGCCAACAACAAATAAAGAGCAATGAAAAACTTCGCCATCCCCCTTCACGCATCACCGGGGCCCTCATCCAACCACATTTTAATAATAGTACGACGTCTGTCGTCACTATTAATCGCCGCAAACATTGCTCGATTGGTGGGATCCCGCAATTTCTTGCAAACAAACTGGAAAAGATCTTCGTCCATATCAGGCATTGCTTGAAGGTCGCGCATAGCTTGTTCCATTGTCGTTAGCTTTGGAGGTCTATTGTTTCTTTCTCTAAGGGGACACATTCAAGTCTGACCACGAATACATGGCCGTGTCGAAACTAGACTCTGTGCCTCTCCTCGGACGAACGTACTGCCTCTGCCTACCTTGCCGTGCATGAGATGTCGGGGTAACCATCGGTTCGTCTTCTTTCTCAGCGACGAAGTCCTGGCTCACATGTGCGGACGGCTGACCACCGAAGCTTCGTCCCTCGGCCACCCGTTGGGTTGATGCCCTCGCATTTAACCCCGTAGCAGTAGTGCCGTGAAAAATAGTAGTCAGTTCTTCATAATGCACACACACCTTACCCTCCATGTCATGGTCCCTTCGATTTGCCTATGCACGTGACATTAAAAGAAAAATTTAACACGAGGAGCATAACACAGCAGCATTATGAAAACGAACAAAGCTCAGTCAATATAATATACTTCTAATTTAAAGAAAACGCAAACATGAACTAATCCTTCCGACAACATACAAGTACAGGCCGCATTAAACTCAAACACAAAATTCTCCTCAAAACAACAATATGATATGAAACAATTAATCAAATAAGCACGAGGATGAAACAAAAACTTACGGTTGTCCATTGCGCCTAAAATTCAGCGGGTCCTTCAATAGTTTTTGTATCTTCATTCCATCCTAATCCGGTGGCGTTGGTGACTATGTTGTGAAACCGTCTCCAATACACTTTCATACGTTGGTATTTACTCTGTAGCTGAGCAATTTTGTAAGGATAGTAAATAGGACACCTCTCTGTCAACTTCCCAAGAATGGTCCCCCATTGATTAGGTGTGAACTTACCGGCTACACAGTTTCCTAACTGGACTTCTTCCAACAAAACACCCACAAATGCGGCTTCATTTTCGGGAGGCCATTTTGCGTCTCCTTGACTATTATCAGTTGAAGTACCAATACCACCGGTATATGACATCTACAAGTATGACATATAACAAACCAACTACAATGTGGTATGGTACTCTTGACATGTTAAAATAAATATAAAAATTCAAAAGAAATGAGAGAAATGTATATTTGTTCTACATTGTACACATGAAAAAATAACAGGTAAAATCCAAAGCAGTCTAAACTTGGAATTGAACTTTGAAAATTACCCAACATATGTAATTAAATGTAATGTCTACAACCAAGTGGAGAGACGATTACCCTATCAATTTTTTTGTTCCCAACGATATCCCTAACCGAAAAAATGAACATTTCAATATCATTCCTCTTGTTACCATCTACACATAGGATCCCCAATTTCATAACCCACATAAATCACGAATATATTCTACAGGCTCTACAAATAGCTATGGTCCGTTCAAAGTGCGGCCCAGTTGTAAAGCCAAATTGGTTT